AATGTGAAACAGAAAGATAAAAGGATCTGGGACATTAGTGACATAATGGAACTTCTTCAACAGCCTTTCTGGTCTACCTCCAGACTCTGAGAAAAAAATAAACTTCTATTTGTTAAGTCACCTTAAATTGAGTTTTCCATTTTGTTCAGCTGTGAACCAATCTCCAAGTGATTACAGACCAACTATTTTGGGAGTTACCCTTATATATATATATATATATTTTTTTTTCTCTCCTTTCTTTCTCTATTCCCTCCTTCCCTCCCTCCCTCCCTCCCTCCCTTCCTTCCTTCCTTCCTCCCTCTCTGTCTCTCCTTCTCTCTCTCTCTGGTGGTGTCCCTTAAAAGTTTAGCAAGTTTACTTTAACTTAACTTATAAAAATCTAACATATGTCACTATTTCTATCTGCCTCTTGAATGTAAGGACCTTAGAATGTTTACATTCTAAGCCTCTACCTCATATGTAATTGTTGACTGCTGTTTTGATTTGCCTTGTTTTGACACCTCCTCTAAACTTTGTTATTTAAAACATGTTTTATACAGTAGTAGTTGTTTATATTTGCCTATGTTTACTACCATTTCTTTCATCTTCATTGCTTCTGAAATCCTAGTCTTTCCTTCTGGGCAAATTTCTTTCTTCTTGAAGTATATCTTTAAGTATTTCAGGATCTCATCATGTAAATCGGGTCCATATGTGGCTAGGGCTCCTCAGGTGTAATGCCTTAAGTACAGCTCCTCAAGGATGGTTCCTTTAGATCTGAAGCCAGTGACAGGATTTCTGTCCCCTCTCCCCCAACATATCACGGTGGGACAGGCATGAGAGAATCACTGTATACAATGCTCTTGAAACAGTGGGGAAATGATAGCTCCATGGGAGTCATTGGTCCATAGCAATTCTGAAATCCAGCAGGGCACAGGTTATTAGTTCTTGATTAGAGCTCAAAACCTATCACTAGACTCTTTATGGCTTTTGGCCTCCCCTCTGGACTCTTGACTCCCTCATCTGATTCATCTTTCCTTTTTGGCAAAAGGGAGCCAATGTTTGCAGGTGTAGTTTTCTCGGCCTACCTCCCGCCTGTAGGAGTTTGGGAGTCCAGAGTCATCTTTTCCTTTTGTACTACCTCTGAACCCTTGCAGTTCAAGCTGGCAGTGTTTCTGCTGGTATAATTCTCTTAAAAACTTTATGTGTTGTCTATTATTCTTATTGGGGTTCACTCCATTAGACAAAACCACACCTACACATCTTTTTGCAATAAGCCCTTCTTTACTTTGGGTTTCTGTCCTTGACTCCTGAGTGACCATACCCTTATGCTTCTTGGAAGTGCTACAGTATCACTGAATGGTTCTTAACAAAGCACTTTCCGGCCACACTCTCAGCGTCATCTTTATACCATGTTTTCCTGACACTGCTCTGGATTTGATCTTTGCCTGGGAGTCATTTCTTTAGCGTTGCTTGCCATCCGAAGAGGCAGAGAAGGTTCCAGCAAATCCTGGCTGCTTTTTAAGAGACCTGCCTTCGGCTTATCTCTTTCTGTTCACATTTTACTTTAAGCAGCAAGAAGAAATCAGGCCACATGTTCAACAACACTCTGCTTGGAAATCTTAGCCAAGTCACACACCCACCAGGAATATTTCCTACTTTCCATATTACAGCAGGCAATAATATTGCTAAACTTTCTGCCACTACATAGCAAGGATTCCCTTTCCTCCAATTTTCTTCCCCCTTTCTCCAGTTTTTTAATAATATTTTCTTCACTTTTCTTTAAGCCCTCACATGTAAAGCCTCCTCAGAGTCCATCAGGCTTTTATTAACAGATATTATTTACTTATTATACTACTTATTGAAAGCTTTTCAGACTTTCACTAACAATCTCCTCAAGCTCATTCAAATCTCCACGTACGGACTTCCCTGGTGGCGCAGTGGTTGGGAGTCCGCCTGCTGATGCAACGGGAGAGGCCACAACAGTGAGAGAGGCCTGCGTACTGCCAAAAAAAAAAAAACAAAAAGAAAATCTCCACGTACTTTCCAATTTCAACGCCATTCCCACATTCTGGGTTTCCACCGTGGTACCACAACACTTGCAGGTACCTAAATCTTTATTGTCTATCGTTGTGTAACAAATTACCCCCAAACCCAATGGCTTCAAACAATAATAAATGTTTATTAACTCAGAGAGTTGGGTCAGGAGTTTGGGAGCAGCTTACCCCAGCTGTTCTGATCCAGGGTCTCACATGATGTTGCCTGGGACCCCAGTCAACTGAAGGCTTGGTTGGAGCTGGAGAATCCAGTTCCATGATGGCTTACACACCTGGCTGATTCAGTTTCCTTCCCCATGGACCTCTCCATGGTGCTGCAGAGTAGTGTTAGGACATGGCAGTTGGCTTCTCCCAGAGTGAGTGATCCAAGACAGCAAGACAGAAGCCCCAAAGTCTTGTGACCTAGTACTGGGGTATTTTTGCAATATCCTATTGGTTACACAGGTCAGCCCTAATTCAGTGTGGGCTGGGAACACACAGGGGCTTGAATCCAAGAGGAGAGAATCAGGAGCTCTCTTGGAGGCTGGCTGCCACATAATCCAACACAAAAGAGCTGATTTTACTTTTCAAAATGGAGTTTGTTTTAACACTGTTTTCCTTATTTTATTTATTTATTTAATTTATTTATTTTTGGCTGCTTTGAGTCTTCATTGCTGCGCGTGGGCCCTTCCTAGTTGTGGCGAGCGGGGGCCACTCTTCCCTGAGGTGCGGGTGCCTCTCATTGCGGTGGCCTCTCCTGCTGCAGAGCACAGGCTGTAGGCGCGGGCTCAGTAGTTGTGGCGCAGTGGCTCAGCCGCTCTGCAGCATGCAGGATCCTCCCAGACCAGGGATCGAACCTGCGTCTCCTGCATTGGCAGGCGGATTCTTAACCACTGCACCACCAGGGAAGTCCCTGTTTTCCTTATTTTAAAAGAAACAGATGTGGGAATTCCCTGGTGGTCCAGCGGTTAGGACTTGGGGCTCTCACTGCTGGGGCCCCGGGTTCCATCCCTGGTCTGGGATGTAGATGTTGGTTACATAAAAAACACAAAGAAGCAAAAAAATTTTTTCTAAGGACCCCAATACCTATACACTTTGAAACGATCATGTTACATACTTAGGTGTATGTGTCCTTTTATAATTTAAAATTTAAAATTTAAAAGACTTTATTGTAGAGACTTTTTTTTTGTCTGCGTGGCTTGTGGGATCTTAGTTCCCCAGCCAGGGATTGAACCTGGGCCCTCAGCAGTGAAAGCACAGAGTCCTAACTGGACCGCCAGGGACTTTCTAAAGTACATCTGAACATGCTTTGAGTATGCTTTCCTGGAATCTTAAAATGTTGAAACATCTACAATTATTTTAAGGAAATTTTATTGTACAAAGGGTTTTGTTTTGTTTTTCCAATAAACAAGCGCTGCTTTTTCCTCTTATCCTGCTGGTGAGTCAAGGGTTCTTCATAATATCTACCCTTTTAGGTTGAGTTTTTGAAGGGCTATTTCCCCCCACCCCACCCCTCCAAGAAAACCTTTGGACTTTAGAAGTGCTTTGAATTGGAAGCACTTGGAATTTAGAAGCAAGTAAAACCCTTAATGCCTCTAGAAAGCTGGACTAACCAGTTTTGGAGAGAAATCTTATACGGCCGGCTCTTCCACGTTAGCACAATTAGAGCTTTTACATAAACGTAGCCCACACCTTACATCCATTTTGAGATTGGAGATCCATCTGCCTTTAGGATCACCGATCTGCCTGCTTCTGCAGGGAGCTGGGTATTCTTGACAGCTCCATCCCACTTGCCCCAGAAGGAGTGTTCCAGGTTGGGAAGGAAGGTGGCGCCCAAATCTTGGACAGTTAGTTCACTGTAGAGAGTGCACTCTCTCTGTTCTAAGAGAAGTTCTCCGGAAAAGCTAGATATAGTGGTGCTTTCAGAGGCAGAAGTGGAAAAATGAGCTTCAAGAGACTAAGAAAGTCCCCAGCTTTGGGACCACTGGAATCCACATGCATACTCCATTATAACCCCATTTTCCTTTCTCATAAAAAGAGGGAGCCTTCCTCCCTTCTTTCTTTCCTTCCTTCCTTTCATCCATTTATCCTAGATTTTAAAAAATTACATGGTAATTATTACAGAAAGATTACAAAATACAGATAAGCAAAAGGAAGAAAGTAAAAACCACCACCTGGATTTAATCAGTGTTATAATTTGAATCTGTATCCTTCCAAACATGTTTTATTATTTATTAGCCATTTCTTAGTTATTCAGAGAGCTGGGGTAAAAAAAAGCAAACAAAAACCCAACCCTGTTTTCTCCTACATTAAACACGTTTGGGTAGATCATAGTGTTGGTTGATTCTTTGTGAACTGTTTCCTATTTTGGAAATAACTGAAAAGATAGGAAAAACAATAGGCAAAAGTTGACACAATTTCCACGAAATATGCCTCTATTTTTTTCTTTGCCTCTTTCTATTTTTTTTTTATTATGTAAAGATGGGAATGAAAGAAGGTAAAGAAGAAGGAAGGAAGTTTCATAGAGAAACAATGTATAACAATAAGAGAACAAAAGTCAATTAAAATCAAGAGATATTAATGTTTCACACCAATTTAGGGAAGCGGGGGAGGGGTAGAAAAAAAATGACATGGACCAGCATCTTTGCCCAGTCATGGAGATTGGGAGGATGAAGATGAAGATGACACTGAGACTAGTTAAGTCAGTTGTCTGGACTGGAATTTGATGCAGTCCATCACTGTGTTGAACAGTGAGTATACCTAAAAGATTGTGATCTCAGGACAAGGACAGCTGTTGGAAATACATGCCTCGTAAATACATGCCATTGGTCCCAAAGGCAGCTTGGTGAAAGCAGGAATGACTCAGCAAAATCTAACATCACTCTCAGGGGGAAAATGCCCCAAAGCTTGTCTTACTGATAATGACCATAGTTTTTATGTGACTACACATGATGACTGTGTTGTTTTGTTGGCTTGTTTGAATTACAGTTCAAATTGCCTTAATATTTGGTGCAAGAATATTAGACTATGTCCTCAATTTATGCGAAGGTAAATTTGACTTCCTTGAACGGCTCTCAGACGATTTGCTCCTGAGAATCCTTTCTTATCTGGATCTTGAAGACATTGCCAGGCTTTCTCAAACATCACGCAGGTTTGCAAAGGTAACAGTCAAATTATTTTGGGTCTGTACAGGATTTTCCTTGTGCTTCCTCAAAGTTGTTTAATTTTGTTTCAAGTTTTTTTTTTTTAATATAGAAGTGGTTTATTATTTGCATTTATTTCAGCAAGCTTTTGTTGAATACTTATTTTATGACAGGTACTGTCCTAGGCACAGAGGCAACAGAATTGAAAAGACATTATTCTTGCCCTCAAGGAAATTATAGTCTAATAGGAGAGAGCCATACAGGTACAAATCATCACAATGTAGTGTGAGCAATTGAACAAGGGAAGTGTGAACAAGGTACTAAGACAGTACAAGGTGATTTGCTTTGCCTGGCTTCACAGAAGTGGGTTATTTTTTCTGTGTTTTGGGGGGAAAATAGGAGTTCATCAGGTGGCCTGGCTAGCTAGGGGCATTCCAGGTCAAAGGGGCATTCCAAGTCCAGGCAGAAACTCAGGCAGAGGCATGATGGCATAAAAGAAGAAGGAAGGAGGTGATTACTCCTCAGCCATTTCCATTTCTTCCAGTAAAAGCGCTTTTCTGAATTACCTATCTCCCACTATGGGTGATTCTGAGGCACTGTTCGTTGTAGTGCCCTGGTTTTCCCCATGCCCCAAACTCACCAAATAGACTCTCTCACTTTGAATCCTCAGCAGAAGGACACAGGAATGGAAAACACAGTTAGTGCTGATTTCAACCAATGTTAGGGCCTTGATGCAACTATTATTAGTTCCTCTCCTAGATCCTGGAAGGTGCCTTGGTTCCTGCCCCTTTAGCTATTCCTTCAATTCTAGAGCCCTGTCGTGTCCTAAACACACACATACTATCCTTCCGTTTAATCCTTTTTGGCTTAAGTTAATCAGAGTTGGAGTTTGTTGCTTGCAACTGAAGAACCCTAACTCAGTATTTAGCTGTAATGTACCAGTGTTACCAACCAGGTAGTGTGAGCAATTCAACAAGGAAAGTGTGGACAAGGTACAAAGACTTGGTGGAAGGTACAGGGGTACAAGGTAGAAGGTCTTGGCCTTCCCCAAGCAATAGAAATTGACTAGAGGCCAGACAAGAAATTGAGTCAAGGCTTTATTGGGGCCCCTGCTGCAGCAGGGGGTAGTGAGAATAAACAACAGTTTCCCTTGTTTGCTTGCTCCCTGAGTTGGGGGCAAGTTTGTTCCTTACATGGGGTGAGGGTAGGGGTGTGTCCAGGGGTTGGGCTGGAGGGGTGGCTTAGGTGTTTTGCCCACCCCCTAGGTAGTGTTGTGTGCAGGGGGCATGAGCAGTACCCTGGTTTTGCTCCAGGCCCTTCAAAAGTGGCAGTTGGGTTTTTTTTGGTCTCTTTGTATTTTTTGTCCACAATTTGTCCCAGCTGCACATGCATGCAGTTATTTTTAGTCCCACACCGTTTCTTTGTATTGGGTTGCTCAAGGAGAGGTGTGTCCAGGTGTAAGCATTGCAGCACTGTAGCAAAGGGTCCCAGCTCCAGCAAGGGGTCCCAGGTCCCAGCCTGTCTCACCAGGGCAACGTCCATTTATACAAGAACCTGCAGCATCTCCCAAGATGAATCAGATCATAATCTTATTATCTAAAAAGTCAACATTTTTTTCACAGTAATGCAAAAAAATTCCTTGATTTTTTTTTTTTTTTTTTTTTTTTTGGTACGCGGGCCTCTCACTGTTATGGCCTTTGCCGTTGCGGAGCACAGGCTCCGGACACGCAGGCTCAGCGGCCATGGCTCACGGGCCCAGCCTCTCCGCGGCATGTGGGATCTTCCCGGACCGGGGCACAAACCCGTGTCCCCTGCATCGGCAGGCGGACTCTCAACCACTGCACCACCAGGGAAGCTCTCCTTGATTTTTATATATTAATTTTAAGTTTACAATCTGTATTACTTAATATACCCCTTTTGAGTATAAAAACATGTATACTTGATTTTTCCCCCTAAAATGGAGGGCCAGAACCAAGTATTATGTATATCATTGTACTGTATTTTTTTTGCCCTTTTAAAAAAAGTATTAAAGTTAAGATTTTGTACTTGCTACTGCTAAGAAGCTGATTATTCATGCTTTAAATGAAGGAAGATTTTTGTTTGTTTGCTGTTTGGTTTTTTGTTTTTTAATTGATGTGTAATTGATCAACAATACTCTGTTAGTTCCAGGTGCGTAGTATGATGATTTGCTATTTCTATACGTTACAAAATGATCATCACTGAAGGAGAGTTTTAAGTGATTAAAATATAGTAGTGGGAATGTATTAAAAGCTTCTGCCAGGGCCTGGGTTTGTCCTGAGAATAAATGGAAGAATTCCATAGGAAATGGCGGAGACCACAGTGTCTTGTGAAATTGATTCCTTACTTGTAGATTCCTTACTTGGAGCAACTGGCTTCCCTCCGGGTTTTGCTCATTTCCACTTTCTATTCCTCTCCCTCCCAATGCCCTGCCATTATGTTAGTGCAATCTTGAAAATAGCCTCCATAATTTACCCCGCACTCTAAAGTAAGGCTTTTCTAGGTTGCTGGTTTCAGCCCTCAGAATCCTTGCAGAGCAGAATTATTCAAAGATGGAATATGATCCAAGGCTGCTTTTTTCTTTCTGTGTAATATTAACCATTCACTTCTGTTGTTAGTCCGAATATTATATGTTCCATTTACATATTTTTCCCTTCATTTATAAACCACTTTCATTTACTTTTGCCCCCTCAGTTATTAAATTATTTTATTAAGGAAGAGTCTTCTATTTCAAACTTTTGGGGGCACATTTATTAGCAAATTAATTGTATCCCTGTCCCACTTTTTCCTGTGGTCCCAGGGAGGGAGGTTTCCTTCCTGTTCAAGACCAGTGCCACCTGCCACCCAGCTCCAAGTTCCAACCCAAAGGATTTCAGGTTGTCACTTACCTCCTTTCTCTTCTGTGTGGTTGTTGTTATGTATTTTTTACTTTTTATTTATAAATAATTTTAGATTTATAAAAGTGTTGTAAAGATAATACAGAGAGTTTGCCCTTCCCCTAATTAGCATCCCCTAATGCTGACATCTTACATAACCTGGGACATTTTTTTTTTTTTTTTGCGGTACACAGGCCTCTCACTGTTGTGGCCTCTCCCGTTGCGGAGCACAGGCTCCGGATGCACAGGCTTAGCGGCCATGGCTCACGGGCCCAGCCACTCCGGGGAATGTGGGATCCTCCCGGACCGGGGCACGAACCCGCGTCCCCTGCATCCGCAGGCGGACTCTCAACCACTGCGCCACCAGGGAAGCCCAGCCTGGGACATTTTATCAAAACTCAACAGTTAATGTTGCTACAATAATATTAACTAAACCACAGACTTGATTTGTATTTCATCAGTTTTTCCACTAACATCCTTTTGGTGTTTCAGGATCCAATCTGGGAAACTATGTTACATTTAGTGCTTATTTCTAAAGGTCTCTTTCAATTGGTTTTTCCTCTCGGTACATTGACTTTTCTTAAATCAGTCTCATCCTTCAAAGAACAAAAACTCTCAACTCTATTCTTATTCAATCTCTTTCCTTCCCTGTTTGTGAAAATAAGGGTTTACATAGCAGTTCACACTCAGCAAACCAGCACCATTCATCCTACTGAGATTTTATAATCTGTGATAAAATGGGAACAGTATGGGTGATGTGAAGAGTTTGTCATCAAGCTAAATTCATTCCATTTAAATGACCATTCTTCAACAGAGGTTAGGCCTTCCTATTTGGGGGAGATTTAAAATGTCCCTTCTTTTATAAAATAGTGGTATTAAAATGTGATAATTTTAACAAATTATCCTTACTTGGCAAATTAAAAAGTCAGCAATCTTATTTTGGTTCTTAATTGTTGTTTTGTTTGATATCTAAAAATTTTGCTGGTCTTACACCGTCCAAAATTCTGGGAGCCACTGGCCTTTTGTCTGTTTACCCTTCATCTCTCATTTCCCCTCTCTCCATGCCTCCTAAATATCTCTGGCCTCATTCACAGTAACCTCTTGGTTGTCACATCCAAAGGGCAAGAGGCCTTCCATGTCCTGACCCATCTCTGCTTCCAGAATTCTCTGGCGGGTCCCTTCATGGCTGCCCTTTCACTGCTTCATTGGTAGCTCTTCCATGCGGGCTGAGCGTGGCCTTTCTAAAATGCACTCTGGTCATATCACTGCCCTGCTCAGTGACACTTAGTGATGTCCCATCATTTTCAGAATGAGATCCAAAGTCTTAGCTGGCACTTCAGGCCGTGGTGCCCTGGCCCCAGCTCCTGCCCCCAGCCCCAGCCAAGTAGACTGCGTGCAGCTGTCCCATGTGCTGGGCTCTCTGGGCCCCTTGGCCTTTGCTTATGCTGTTCCCTTTCGGAGGAATGGCTTCCCTCGTGACCCATCACTCTTAACTCCTGAACGCTTCTCATTTGGGCTTTGTGCTATATCCATTTTGTTTATATTTTTGAAAAAGAAAATCGATTTGCATTACAATAACCAGGTTGAAAATTGAAAAAAATTATATGTCTTTTAATGTGTAGTAAAAAGTAATTCTCCCTCCCATTCTTTTTATTATTATTATTTATTTATTTATTTTGGCTGCACCAGGTCTTAGTTGCAGCATGCGGGATCTTTAGTTGTTGCGGCACGCGAACTCTTAGTTGCAGCATGCATGTGGGATCTAGTTCCCTGACCAGGGATCAAATCCAGGCCCCCTGCATTGGGAGCACGGTGTCTTAGCCACTGGACCACCAGGGAAGTCCCTCCCTCTCATTCTTGATCCTCATTCCTCTAATTCTCATCTCCAGCAGCAATTATATTACCAGTGTCTCATATGTCCTTCCAGAGAGAGTCTGTGCACATATAAGTGTGTGTGTGAGATGTGTGAGCATATATACATGTACACATACCCTTTTAAAAAGCATATGGTAGGGCTTCCCTGGTGGCGCAGTGGTTGAGAGTCCGCCTGCCGACGCAGGGGACACGGGTTCGTGCCCCAGTCCGGGAAGATCCCACATGCCGCGGAGCGGCTGGGCCCGTGAG